GAAGACAAAGGGGTTCTTCCTTCCAGAGAAGACGAGCATCAGTACCGTTGGACTGGTGCGACGGCGAGGGAGATGCGATGTGACCCTCCTGTAACTGAGGGAGAGGGGGCGGGGGGTGCAAGTAGTGGGGCGGTTGGGTCAGGTCGGGTTGTTGGGACCAGCTGTTCGATTCCGACCGCGCCGACAGGGAGAACTCCCCGTCTTCGTCCACGATCACGAGGCTTCCGTCGTTCTCCTTCTCCTCGTCTTGGGACTCCATCTCGCTGGGGACTCCGCTCGCAGACGTGCCTGTGACAGATCGGACGCAAACGTCGATCGAAAGGGTCTCTTCCGTTCAACCGGAGAGGAGGCTGGGGATCTCACTCGGATCGGAGGACGCCCGGAACTCGAGATCGTAGACGGATGGAAGCTTCTTGTTGGGGTCCCAGAATCCGTTGTGCTTGGACTCGACGGCACGGACGATGGAGTTGGCACCCTCGGCCGTCAGACGGGGAAAATCTCCCAAAATCTCTTTGGGAGCAGACTCCAAATGCTATGGAAAGAGGGAGATGTAGCAAAATGAACCAAAAATCAGCTAGATCGCAGAAAAGGAAAGGGATCGGGAACAAAAACCGGCCGCACCTTGAGGAGAACGGTACGGGTGAGATCGTTGAGGGGGCCGTGGCTGAACTTGCAGTTTGGGCTCATGAAGCATTTAAGCCCAGTGTGGAAGTACTTGCAGGGGAAGTCAGTGTGCAGGTACAGGCACTTGTCCTTCTTGGCGCAACAGTCCATCATGTAGAACTTGCAGAGCTCGTTCTTGCGGGGCGGCGTGGCGTCGTGCGAGAACGGGCAGCTGTCGCCCTGGAACGATCATCGAGGGACTCAATTCCACAAACTGATGGAGCAGAATGTCAGTTGGAAACTGGATCAATTAACATGGGGTTAAACATTTTGATGGTGCAACAGAAGCTGGAAAAATAAAAAGGAATTCTAAACTTAACCAACACCATAATAAACTCAAGTGAATGTATCATCCTGGTTCTGCAATCTTACCCGGCTGCATTTCCCCTGCATGAAGTACATGCAGAGTTCGGGTCGCCTCCAACCGGGTCGCATCATGGGCCGCCGCTCGCCATCCCGGTCCCACCGAGACCGACCTCTCTCGAACGGAGGGCCATACTGTCGATGCATGGGGAACCTCCCACGCCGTGGTGGAGGACGATGAGGCTCTCGGTCCATCATGTGCCGCTCCCGCTCCATCATGCGCTCATCATCCTCTTCATATGGCTCATCGTAGGGATCTGAGGATTTATAAATGACACATAATCAGTTACTCATGGAACATAAATGCAAACTTGAACAAATATGATGTGTAAGGAAGGCTGGGAATCAGAATCGTTACCACTACCCAATAAGTACTAATATTTGCATTTCATTCATTCAGTACCAGACTAAAATTGCATTTTCCTCCCAACATTTCAATAACTAGAAACAAGCAGGTCATCATAATTCTCAGTGAAAAAAACACAACTGGAAAGATTCAGATTTGAAAAATGACTCATCAATAAAGATTTAGAACTGAAGAATGACTCATTAGGAAATATTCAGATCTGGATGATGACTCATCAGGAATGATTCAAATCTGACTCATATAGTCATCCATATATATATGGATGACTCATGCAGATTGCCTGAATAATTCTGAATGGATTTATTTGTACGACACCCAGAGTTTTTTTTCTCCATTTCATGAAAATGCTGCGTTCACTTTCATTTTACAAAATTGTGGCCCAATATTGATGAATTCTTATAAAATTTTTATCTTTGATTTGAAGCAGCATCGATACAGGAGAATTGGCAAAGACTAAGCTCATCAACTTCTACAAGGATGCTAGAAGAGCTAGTGCCTTGGGTTTTGTCCAATACTGGTGGCTTCTGAGATAATTGAAGACAATGATTAAGAAAAAATACCAACTTCCATTTTAGTGACTGAAATTGTGAGCAATACTCTTATATCAGAAATTAAATGGGCATAAGGTGACTTTGGTTTTCATGGAAACTCCTAAGTGGGACATTTGACATAACTAAACCCCAGAACCATTCTGGAAACCAGAATATTTGCTTCTGGAATGATCCCTTTTGCAAGTGATGCACTCCACTCGTACCGTCTTCGCCATAGCCATCCTGCCGCAACGGCGATCCCATCGGAGCGATCTTCCTGGGGGGGCTGGCTCCTCTCACGTAGATCATCTCGTCGTTGAGGTCCTCCTCGGGTTCGTCCTTGCCGCTCCCGCTCCCGTCGGACTCCCTGCGCCGCTTCTCCCGACCGTGCTTCGAGCCGTGGTGGTGGTGGTGGTGGGACTTCTGTGGGGGACAGCATTACATCGCACATCATTGTAGCAGACTTTCCAAATTTCAAAGGCATCACCATCAAAATCATTAACAATGTTGCATGATATGAAAATGTAAAGACTAAAGAGAGTTTAAGAAAATTTCCCCTCAATTTGCCGAATTTGTTCATTGCTTAAGAGGCCACTGACTTTCTTCTTCTTGTGATCCCGCTCCGATTCATCTTTGTCCTCCCCTTTCTCCTTCCTCCTCTTCCTCTTCTCATCCTTCTCCTTGTCCTTCCGATTTCTCCTCCTCTCCTTATCTTTCCCCTTCCCATCCTCCTTGGACTCCTTTCCCTTCTTCTTCTTATCTTCTTCCTCATCTGGCCCCTCATCCCCTCCACCTTCGTCTGTGATCTCCCCTTCTTCCACATCCTCCTTCTCCTCGCCCAGGGAAGCCTCGCTGCAAGAGGACGATCGACTCCATTGACTTCACGTCACTCAATGCCTGTGTGTTTCACGTTAGGGATACGAAATAATAAATATCCTCTCATCTGACTTCAGAATTCGTCACTCGGAAGTTGTAACTAAGGTCATTCGTCTAGAATGCAGTCATTGCATGCAAGAGAAAGCGTTCACGACGCTCATTCAGCATCCGTGCATCGAGAAGGCGGGAGAGAACTGAAGGTCGGCGCGGCGGGACGGGAAGCGGAACACCTCGCCCACCGCCATCTCTGGATCGGGGCGGGAGACGCACGTTCGTCTCCCGTCCCACAGATGGCACGCCGGTCCTCTCTCGATTCCATTTAGGAAAGATTCTCAAGGTCACGGCCCTTCGGCCGAGTGACCCCCGGTCGTTCGAACGTGACGTAATCCAACACGGACAGAGCCGAATGAAAAACACCTTCGTGGTTGCATACGTACCTGCGGAATGTGGAACGAGGCCGAATCCGCCTGCGGGGCATGACCGTTAATGGGAAAAGAGGGGAAAAGGAAGGTCCACGTGAAAGGAGCTATCTCCTTGCGAGGCTGGTGAGAGACGGAATGAAAGGAAAGGGAAGGGGAACGGCTTAACTTCGATAAGGACTGGTTTTTGGCCAAACATGGCCGAAAAGCCGATGCGAGGGCACCGAACATCGCGCAGGATTCGTTTCTACCGCTTTTCTCCGTTCTCGGCGATCGGTATGGCTGCCGGTTAACGCATCGGTTACGTTCTCGGTTGGCGAACCCTCCGAACTGTAAACGGTACGACGCAGATAAGGGAAAAGGATAAGGATACCGATCTGGCCGTTGATGGTCGTAACGGCAGACGCTCGAAATATCAGACACGTTTGCAAATGCAGACACGCTTGTAATGGGAAATACACCGATCCGGACCTTGTGCCCCCCCCCCCCCCCTGAAAACAATCGATGCTCAGGCGACGGAACCACCTCGTTACATAAGTCACAATGGGAATTCCTTCATCCAGGTCGGCAGCAAAGATAAGGCGATGACCCCCGCGACTGACCTGCTACTTATCAACGACCAACTCCCCTCATCGAAGGCGGCATCGAAGACGGCACAAAGTTCCATCTCGGTATAATAAAAAAAAAGCCTTAAAAAAATCCATTGTCGAGCCGGGGACGGGAGTTCGAGACTTCCCCGGGAATTCCAGCTCCACTTACCGCGGGAAATTGCACATGGGGGATTCCACCATGGATTGCATGACGGTTTCGACATGAATCGACGCCAGTTACGAGTACGGGAGATAAAATGCACAGGGGCTGCGAAGCCCACATTCCGCTTTTATCGCTGCCCGGAATGGGATCTGCCTGGGGAAGGAGGGAGGCAGGAGAGGGTGTGTGCGAGGAGGGAGAGATGCACGCGAGGCGCGTGAGGGACCCTGCGTCGAGGCTACGTCATCTCGCCACCCCGCTGACCTCGACTTCCCAACTGCGTGCTGGCTGAGAAATGGCAGGCCTTACCTCGTCGACGAGCGTTGTTCCACGTTACGTACTATGCGATTACGGGCTGTTCACGGCGGGATTTCGGGTTAACACCGTTACCGACAGATTTTTAGGTTAAGAGAAGCACAAAAAGCGGATCTGCCACGCAGATCGTGCATGACAGGGAAGTCCTCACGATCGATCTTTGCCTGGCAACCGAATCGATGCTCACACTCCGTTTTAATGCAATACCTCTTTTCCTAAACACGGATGCTTAAGAGAGAGAAAGGGAAAGGGGGGAACCCATGCAACATTAGCGGGCCTCAGACCTTTGTTTCTCATCAATTATCAGGGCTCCACCTATCGATGCCGCTGGAGGAGTGCTCTGGAACGCCACACTGTCTAGAGCCATGTTCATATCACAATCATCTAACAGCGGAAGCATTCACTGTCACTTTGCAGTGGTAAAAAAGGAATTAAGACTTGGGGGTGATCAAGCCATGAGTTGAGCGGGCCTAGAGAAATGATGCGTCCGACCCGGATGGTTTCGTGAGGCGGACGAGACTGGGACGCGAAGGGGAGAGACTCGGGTAGAGGCTGGCCAGCGGTGTGTGAAGGAGGGCGAGGGTAGGGGAGGAGGAGTGGATGACGTCACGCTGGGGCTCGGGATCGCGGGATCTCGCACGTGGGGGCTCGGGATCGCGCGCTGTCGTCTGCTCGGATCGGGGATGCTTCCAGGGCTTCTAGAGCGTTGGCTTTCTTGAATACTGAATGCTTTGTTTAAGATGCATTCGGGGATTTGGAGGATGGAAGTGGAGGGTTGCTATTCATCCGGATCGTCTCCCTTTCGCTGAATGGAGAGAAAGGGGATCGTCGCTCGAGGGCCATATGGACAGATGGTCCTAAAATCCTTTGAATTCAGGAAAAAGGCGAAATTTCGCATTCCAAAACTGGCGCTGAGGTTCGTCGAAAACGTTTCGTGATGAAGTATTCGCTTTTAGTCAGTTTTTTCTCTTAATGACATGGCGAGCCTGTAGGATAGGTGTTCCCAATCATCCTCTAATGAAGCGGCGTAGCGTTGCGGGGGGGGGGGGGGGGGGGGGGGGGGGCCCCCCNGGGGGGGGGGGGGGGGGGGGGGGCACGTGCATGGGCACTTTTCAAGGAAAGAAGCCAAAAAAGAAGGAAAAGACCCAGAAATGCATAACAGTATCCCAGACTTCCCGTGCCCCCCCCCCTCCCCCGCTTCTCACTTTTTCCATCCACGCTACGCGTATGCTCTAGCGTAAAACGGGTTTTACGGCTCAGAAGGCTCATCACAGATGCTCCCTTTACTAAAGAAAAGAAAAAATATTAGTTGGACCTGACCCTAAATGAGCTGACCTTTTTTTCAACCGACGGAAATGACAAAAATAAAAAGACTGAGAAGCTTTTGAAAAAGAACGCTCGACTCTAAAATTTGCATTTTTACAAGATGGCTGCTCCCAGTGAAACCCTCGATAAAGCCGTGAGTCAACTTTGATTAGGCCGAAAGATCTGTGAACGATGACGGGGAATAACGTCTTACAAGTTGCCATCATTACTGCGTCTCTTGATAACGCATTTCGCAGAATTCGCGACGTTTCTGAAGATAAACGGAACTGGAAAGTACGGAGGAAAAACCAGTTACTTTTGAGAAGTGGCTTTGACCTTTACCGATCTTTCCGACAAACGGTCGGAGCGGGTTTTTGCCCTCCAAAGGGCAAGGCCCTCGTCGAGGTCCACGTTACATAACTCAAGGTCCACATCGTCTCCTCCTCGATTTCATCATCGAATTAACGCAACGGCGAGGAATTTTATCGCAAGGACATCGCGAAATCCACGAAGATAAAGAACAGGAAAAGCTCTCACCCTCAAATTTCGTGCAGGGAACTCGGCCCCGCCGCCCCTAAAAAATGAACGAAGTAAATCCAAACATTTCCCTACTCGGATCGATTGAAACCCCTTCGCAATCCGGAGATGAGGAATGCAAATGACGCGGGCAGATCGATGTCACCAAATGCGCGCGACAGGGTTGCGCGACGCAGGGTTGCTCGCGACAGGGTTGTGCGATGTGCCATGAACCGAAACATTAAAATTTCGAAAATTACGGGCTGCATGGAAACTTTCACCGCGTCTTCCGCATGCCAAAAGCACGAAGCGATTCTGCGTGAGTCACGGTTCGCGGCAAATTGAAAAGTTATGTTTTCACGGACTGCTGACTCGAGCATGAGGTGTGTCCCCGTTTACTCATGCAGCGCCAGCACCTTCTGCCGAAGGGGTTAATGAAGGCAAATGCATGGGAAAGCTCTTCTATGGCGAGATTATATAATTACTTTAAACGAATTCCCTCAGTTGAAAACGGCTGCGGATCGACGAAGAACTTATTCAAACTAGGTCCAAAGGAAGAGAAATTCTGAGTTTTGCTCAAGTTGCATCGATGGTCTGATATAAATTGCTCCGATTAAATTTCCCACTTTAAAGTCGCCCCTCAAACAGCACGAGAGACATCTAGCCAACGCCGAGGGAAGCTCATATTCCAGCATGCCAGTCCCACGAAGGACTCAACTGTTATCCTCTCTTGGGATCAGGTTTCTTACCCAAGTCATGATTACAGATTCACATTCTTTGCTGCAGACCTTACTGAATTGAATCGTCTACTTCACTTTTTTTTTGCATTGGTGCCGATTCCCGCCTGAAAAATCCCGTCAACCAGAATTCTTTTCTCGACTTTGTTTCGTAATATATTTTCTTGGGAAAAAGAAAGAACTAATGGAAAATGGGGCTACAAGGCCTTACCTAATCGACTTTACGCTCTTGCTTTAGTTTCTCATTACTGATGCACCTGCGCCTTCGTGCACATCTCGACGGTTCGCTCAGTAAAAAAATATAACAAGGTGTCAAGAATATCGTTCAGCAATTCATTTAAACAAATCCAGGTTCTGCCAATCGTGTTCCCATTACCTTTTATCTATTTCTACTTTTTATCAGAAGGAAATAAGTAATTCCAGGTGGAATGGGATCTATCAGTTGACCAACGAATTATCTTCGCACCACAGGAGATTGGCTAATGCTTCTAATCCGTGTTAATCTCCCTCCCCTCCTCTCATCTCGAACTTCATAAGTCCTGGCTTTTCCCCACTAAGTTCAAAAATTCCTCTTTGTGCTATGAACTTGCAATTCGGCTAATTCCACACACCCAAAGCTGACTCATCCTGGAAAAACCCAAGACACTCATCTCATACTCATAAAACTTCCAAGATAGAAACAGACTGTGAATGCTCATGAAGGCCACATACTGATCCTGACACACAGGCACTTGCAGAACCTACCGATGTAAAAGGGAGGAAAAGGAATCCTTTATTACATCTGCAATCTTTACCTTAAATTCAAGAACCAAACAAAAAGCAAACAGCAACAACCAACACCAACACCCACAAAACGAACAGGTTTCCGGTTCATGGCACAGAAATGCCAACGACGGCACGAGCCCAAACGCCGCGACGCCTAGTCGGAGGGCTTCATCTTGCATAGGAATCGAAGCTGGAGCATCTTCACCACGCCGGAATCCAGCTTAACGACGCCTTCCTGATTGTCGATGGAGAGCAGCTGCCCGGTCGCCTCTCGCTCTTCGCCGACCAACACCTGAATTTACATAAAACATCATGATTACTCCATCTCTCTCATACAAGCCCTTCGTGACTCGAAGCGGCCTATCCCTCACCTTGACCCGATCGCCTCGAGACGGAGTGACAGGCTCGAGATGCTCTGCCATTATGTTCACCGTGCGGTCATCTTGTGGAAGCAACACGGAGCACATCCCTGCCTAAAATGAGATTTTACATCTGGTTGTAGCTTCTAGACTTGGAAACAAGGAATGCGTCATGGAAGTGCAAGGACTAACCGAAATCCCTGTGATGATCCCAGATCGTCCACTGAGAGCAGAATCCGTGTACGACTCCTTGATCTTCACCTCGATGTCGGTCGAATGCCAGTCTTGGGTGGACAGCAGATCCAAAGCTGAGAAGGCATACAGAGCCCAAGAATTAACACCTTGCTCAGTAAACATGGAAAACCACAAAAGGCAATGCAACCAAATGAAAATCACCAGTTCCAGGAGTGGTAGGGTTGTATGGAGAGCCAGGTGTGAGAGGTGAGCTGTATCCTAGAGGAGAGGGAGACGAAGAGCCAAAGCTATTCTGAGGCGAGGCTGCTGGTTGGTAGCCACCGATGGGACTCGGTGTTGCAACATACGCCCCAGGATTTGGAGATGCTGTATGGAAAAACTTCAGCATTGAAACACTCAACTCTAAGAATCCAAGAGATCATCAAATTCATTTCCTCAACTCACATTGGAATCCCTGGGGGCTGGGTGTGGACTGATAAGGAGAATATGGCTGATCCGAGCTGTACTGAGTCCCCGGAGTATGTGGGGTATACGGGGCACCAACACTGGGGGAAGCAGCAGGAGAAGACGGATCATCGTACCCGTACTCATCTAGCTCCGTTCGAGCGGGAGTGTTGGCCACAGTGGGATCCCAGGCTCCACTCTGGCCAGGTGTACGGGATCCATCATGCAATGGAGTCATGCTCCCATAGTGAGGAGTTCGAGAACCTAATGGTGAGAAAAATTCATTCAATTGAACATATCCTGCTCATGGAGTGGTAAATTCTATTTCCTGAATGACTGAGGTTTCTGACCTTCATACAAGGGTGTTTGAGACCCATACATAGGTGTCCTGGACCCAACTCCATACATTGGAGTAGCAGCCCCAGCATAGGATGGGGTTCGTTGGTATGTGGAAGTTGAGCCAGCTCGAGATGGAGCACCCACCTGCTCGATGCGGTTTCTATCCACCGAGATTGTGTGGCAGTTAGTGTGAAGTTCAACCTTCACAATTGCTTCTGTGGCATCCTTTACTATACCAACATGGCCTAGAAGATACAATATCAAAGTGCCACCTCAAATAACTGCATCCAACATCCACTTGTTTCACATAGTTAATGTGAATTTAAAAATCTCGATGTCATCACATTCTTGAAATGGAAATAAAGAATCACTAAGAAGTTTCAGTGAAATGATTTGAAAATGGCCAACTTACCCTTCATGGGTCCCTTGGTGATCTTGACCGTCTGTCCAATTAGAGCACGATCTCGACTGGAGCCGCCACGTCCTCGGCCCCTCCCCATGCCTCCTACACCCCCTCCCATGCTCCCCACCCCACCACCTCCAGCCCCAGCTCCAGCTCCACCTCCTCCAGGGTGAGCCGGGGAGAAGATTCGAGGAGACATGAACCCCATTGGACCCGCAACTGGTGATGCAGTCTACAAAATTCAAATTGGATTTCAATAAAACACTTACTCATAAAGAAAAAAAAGAAGCTTTTTCCCCCCTATTTCTCACCGGGTTTTCTGCCTTTCCCTTTCCTTTCAAATTCCCCTCCTTACAATGTTTCCTGACATTTTGCCTAAGCTTACTCTCCCCAATTGCAAGGAGTCGACTATGATTAATGACATTTGCACTGAAGAGCGGTTGTCGCTCGGCAAGCTTGGAGAAGCGGACGAGCATCTCGAGACGTCTCGAAATCCCATTCAGGTTCTCGAGTGCCTCAGCCATGCTCTGGCGACAACGAGCATGTAGCTCCCGTATCTCGGCACACACTTCTCGCAACCTGGCCATCTCAAGATCTGGGAGAGATCAAACTTGCACAAAGATATGAGCAATACATGCCGCTTCAACTCGGTGTCTAGTAAGGAGATAAGCCAGCTACTTTTATCCAGGATGGGAAGCATGACATATGGTGAGGAGAATTCCGTGAGAACTCTCTTAGTCTGAATCCGTGAGCACGGATGTCTTGGTTCCCAAGTGAAGTGGGACAGCCAGGCACAATAATGCCACGAAATCGTGTAAATGTTTACACTCAAGGAAAAGAGAGAGAGAGCATTTGTACAAACTTGTTCTAAAATACATGCACATACTGCTCTCAGGCCTCTCTAAAAGCTGCCTGTACATTCTGACTGTTATGTCTATTTCCTGAGATTTCAATTAAGATAATAGAAGATGAGGATGGAAATTTATGAAACTGGATATAAAAAAGAGAGAATACAAGACTGAGTTCAGGACTGGCTCAACATAATATACACCCATTAGATTCAGCAGTTACCATCCAGAGTTACTTGAAATACACAACAGCCATGAATGCAGGGGGAATCTGTATTATCTCCTAGCTGTACGTTCACATAAATACTGCAATAATACATTTTTATTCTATACAAATTTTTCCAATATCAACCAATGAGTTTTATACATTTTATCCTGCCACCTCTCTATAATTAAACAATTTTAAGCACCAACACAGAAGAAAGTGAGACTGAAAACCACACCAAATACATAACTGTTCAAGTTTTCAGTGCATTATTGGGAACTTCAGCTACTTCACTCATTTTGGCACTCATAAAAGGACTGCAGGTACATATCCCCATATTACCTAGTGCTACCAATTGTTCACAAACCTAAATTTATTCAATCATTCTGCTTCATCTTTTAATCACACTTTAACAAACTCAAATGCCCCTCTGGAATAAGGAAAACATACACTTCTATAAATGTATTAAGAGATGACAGTAAAATTCAATTTGATGATGCAAACGTGGGATTTCCCCATTCATTTACTCTCACCATATTGACTTTTCCCATCTCCCACTTGTAATCTCTAGTGATAACTAAATACTGAAAATACTGTCATCACATAATACTCTCCATGGAATTAAATGTAATGATAGCAGGCATTTACATTTCACATGCTCCCCTCAACAAGTCTTAAATTCCTGTTTCCTGACTCTCCAAAGGTGCCACTAACAGTGAAAACATCAACCAGCCTACATTGGAAATTTGATAATGTACATACTCATGAAGCTGGCAAGTGAACAAAAGAAATAAAAGATCCTCACCTTGGTCCCTCCTGCCAATTGAAGGTTCCGGGCACGACACACAAAAATGCCTCCATTCTCAATGTACTGCCGATTGTGAATGAATGCGAAGTTCCTGAAGAGGTGCTTGATTTCCCCCTTTTTCCCCTGAATTCAAACAAAACACATCACCTTGCAATTTCCACCATCTATTTATCATCAGCACAGAAGGGGAACGAAGACAAACCTGATGGGTCCCGTCCACAACATTGACGACATCCTTGACCTGGATGGAGTTGGACTCGGAATCGAGAGCCATGGCATTGCGGGATGGCCGACGTCGGGTCACGGCCTGAGGTCGAACCCTGACCACGTTGCCATGCATGTTCAAGACCTCCATGTGCTCTTTCTCCAGTCGCACAATCACACCCACTGTCTGAGGGCTATAAAAAAAATACAATCTTAACTTTAGATCCTGGTCTTTGCTCAATCCCTCCCAAATTAGAAATAGACTCACTCCAGCTGGACCATATCCAGATACTGAAACTGGCCAAGTGAGTCAACACCTGTGGCCATCTCAGAGCACAATTGGAGGTCTCTAGGTGAAACCTGGAAAAATGATACAAAACATCACTTCAGTTTTTGGAAACATGCTATTCAAACAGTAAAAATGGCAAACTGAAAAGAAAAGACATATATTTAATGTATGTCTTTTCATGATCATGCAGTTCTCATCTCTTGTTGGAATATTAGAGCGAAAAGAATTTTCAATTTTGACCATTTTTGCAAATTGCCAGAAAAATGAACCCAGTAGAGCTTGGTTTTTTTGTGGTTGCAAGAATGTTTCTGAACTTGATACTGATCAACAGCTGTCCCACTGGTAGAGTATAAGCAAAAACACTGGGATTATACATAAATGAAGAGTCTCACAACATTCCCACCTTCAGTTCATGGAGCGAGAGATCGGAGAAGACAACAACCATGTTTTCTTCAACACGGATGATGAGCCCAGTGTCTCCCTCGTAGATCCCGCTGATCACCTTAACGTGGTCTCCCAGCTTGAAAAATTTCCTCAATTCTCCGGCATGGAACTCCAGCAGATCCTATTGAGAGCATCTCTGGGATCTGAAGAATCTGAATCATAAAGTACAGGCATCACACAAAATGAATATGGAACCTTCAAGTCCTCGTGATTGGGCATGATGGCAATTGTGTTTCCTTCAATGTTCATCACTTTGCCCTGGAGGTGCTTCAACTCCCCATCGCAGACTTCCACAACATCCCCTAAAACACAAGCAAAATTTTCTTTACATCAAGGGCTTAAACATGAAAAGAGGAAAAATAAAAGTCCACCACATCACCTGTAGCAAAGTTGTGAGCCAAATTCTCTTTCCCAATTTTAGCAGATGCAGCAATCTCCATCTCCATCCCTTCCACACCCTCTTCAAATTTCTCCAGTTCAGCCAGAGTTGGCTTCACACCTGAGAGCACCCACAAAAATAAATGAAGATTAGCAGACTGGTCATTGGAAGTGAAAAATCAGGATAGGAAGTTGCAGTGTCTCACCCTCAGATACAATGGCACTGAGGGCAAAGTTCTTGTACAGGAAACCCTTGCGAGAGTACCGATTCCCCTCGAAGACCAGAAAGTCACCATCATTGGTGATCTCACCGCCAATCGCCCTGATCGCATCCGAATCGAACAGTTTTGCAGCAGGGCGTTTCTTCTTCTTCCTCTTCAGGTCTTCCTCCTGAATTTATGACATTTCAGTTAGAATGAGGTTGTATAAACCAAAGCAGGAAAACTGGGTTAAGAAGCAGACCTGATTGGGCTGACGGAGTGCTCCTCGGGGTCGCGAGTAATCAATGCGTGGGATGAGTTTCAGATGGACCATGTTCTGAGCAGTGTCCACATAATCCACCTGGGCAATGTCGTCCTTGTAGACCGTGCGTTTGAAACGCACCCATGCCTTAGGCTTCAGCTGGGCTTGTTCCTTCACCACCCTCAGAACATCAGTCATTTCAGTGATGGGGACCATCTGAAACAATACATTAACCAGATGCTGAATCACTGCCTCCAAAGCATTTTTTTTCTGCCCAATTTGACCCCTCTAACCTGTTGCTTGTACCTCCCCAGTCGGAGGTTCCCGATGCCCTCGATGATCTGCTTGACGTGAGTCTGCTTGTATGCCTCAACGTAGATGTAACCTTTGACATGCTCTGGGGCCACAATTGACTGGACCTGCAAGGGTTTTTCACTGAACTGATAGGCGATGAACTTCCTCATTAACTGGAGCAATGTGACTTTTTCTTCTCCAATGCGACACTTCACCATCCACAAATTAGGATCCCTGATTAGAAATGCAAAAGAATAATTATCTGAGGCAAGAACAGACCTAATTATTCAATCATGACAAGTTTCATACTCACTTCACACCAGGAAGGAGAGTCTGCTGGGCAATTTCATCAGTCATATGTTCTCCATCATTGAAATGGCGTGCTCCCTCTTCCACATCAGCATACTTCATTTTGTAGTAGTTTTCAATTTCATCCTCCTTCTCATTTCTTGAAAAAAAAAGAATAAATTCATGCAAATTAGGTAGGCCAACAGGAAAACTACTTTAAAGTCACGGAAAGTAACAAGGGGCAATATCCGCTGCATTTAGTGACTAAGGACTGCCACTTTTGAGCTTAATTTCTCCTCTGAGAATTATGGTATTCATGAAGCTTACACTAATGCTAATATTTATTACTTTTCTTAAGCATTACAGTCAAGGAAATAGAGTAACATTAAGAAAATACCTTCCCTAATGGCATCAATGATGAGCTCACTCACTGCCACATCATCTGAAGACGTCGATTATTCTCTATATCCCTGGCGGAAGGGCCTTTCTCCTTCTCATTCTGGGCCAACACTTCCTTGGCTCCTTCTTCCCAATCGCCTTCATCGTCATCGACATCTTCGTCCACCTCAGCCTCATCGATGATGAACCCAGCACCACGTCTCTTCTTCTTCCTTCGTCGGTCTTCCTCTTCGTCATCCTCATCGTCCTCATAGGATTCCTCCTCCTGCAAGAGGAGAGGTGGCTTGCACATCATGGAAAATGAATGAAATGGGGAGACTGCTTGGGACACTTACTTCTTCCTCTGGCTCATCTTCCTCTTCCTCCGAGCGCTTCTTTTTCTTTATCTTCTTTCTCATTGCTTCACCCTCTGAGTCAGAGGAAGGGCTATTGGATCGGGACTTAGGAGGTGGTGATCCAGAAGCCGAGCGGGAACCAGACCTGAGAATGCAAACATGACTTTGGCGACAGTTCAATATAGGCAGAACTCAAGGTCTATAGTGAAACACACCTCGATGATCTTGAGGCTGGGGATGCCGATCTAGAACGTGAGGGAGACTTGGCTGCTTCACTTCCTCCACCTGACTGTGCCTCTTCTTGCTCTGGCTATAAGAGAAATTATGAAAAATAATTTTAAATAATTCAGCCAAATGAAGCTGCAAACTTTTCTACAGCAATTATCATAATGAAAATTAAATTTCCATGCTTTGGCCTGAATGCATGTAAAAGCCTCTAAGACAAAGGCCTCAGTCCTCGGATAAGATTAAAAACAAATTTAACATCAAGTCAGGAGAGTTAGTGATATCAAGAGGCGATTTCGCCCATTTCAATATCACATGTCGAGGTCGATCGTTCCTTTAACCTTCGTTCGAGCGAGTACAGTCTCAACACTTCTAAACGCTTACCATTAAGATCCAGGCTTATGTTTGACTGCAAGAAGGTATTGGTCCTACTGTGGAGGCATCTGGGCCTCACTGGAAATGCCTTCCAACAAAAACTTAAGTGGGCCAATAGGAAACTTTTGAACTGTAAATAGCCAACGGTGTAGAGGCATTCCTATCTTAATTTTTTAGCTTTATCAAGCTAAAAAATAACTCACCTCACTCTCTGCATCGCTCCCACTTCTATACGAACTTCCTTCACTGTCAGACATCTTCAGAGCTTCTTTATCACCGTATCAGCTCCGTGGTTACAAGCTAAACCACTCACAACACCTCACCGTACTGAAAATCAATGACGAATGGCACTGCAAAGGAGTCGTCCATGAATGCAATGGATGTTGGCGCATGCGCAATACGTTCCTAAGAGTGTTACTCATGCGCGAACGCCTCCACGTTGATGCTCCCTTGGCTGCGTGCCCTGTCATCTAGCTTTGAGGTGGGAATATGCTCATATCGCTTTCTCTCGCTAGATGATAGTTCAGGCGCATTCCGTGCAGAATTGCCTTTCATATCAGTATCGGCACGGGATGTCTCTTTCGCGTCGTAGAATAGTCGTGGGAAATGCTCCAGGTGGTGTGAGGGGGAAAAACGCGCCATACGCGGGGAATGATTCTTTCTCATGCCGTTTGCATCCTCAACTCATGCTTGTGCACGGACTGCTTGGTTCATCGTGGATTCAAGAGGAAAGAAACATCCAAAAATGTTTTTTTTTTTTCATCCAAATGATAATCATGTCAAAGTATAAGTTATGAATTAGCACATTAAAACGACACTCATTCTGTGTCTATATCCCATGCTTTGCACTGTAGTGGCTTATGTATGGATGCAATGTTGGTAAACTGATTAAATACCTGATTTATTGGCATGTCCCAATTCTGCACGCAGAGAGGGGATTGGCATTCTGGACAACGCTTTGGAATCAAATTTCGAGGAAAGAAACGGTAGACAGAGTGAATGGCAGCAGATTACATAGCGATGGCATGATGGACAAAAAATTATTTAATTTTCATTTTCAGTCTTTAACTTCAGGGAAAAAAAATGATGGCCAAGCAGGTGGAAAATGGGCAGGTCTATGCCATTTCATGCATCTATGTATGCCTTCATGGAATATGCCTGAAAGTGACTCCCTTCACTTCACGTGATACAGAGCAGCAGCAATTCTGAGTCATTGATGATCCCAGAATGCATGACAATGGGATTCAATGGAATTATATTGGAATTATACTGAAACACCTAAAGTGACAATATTTAATCAATTTCTCTGTTTTCCTTTGAATTTGAGAGAAGGTCCATGCTTCACAATAATTTTTTATCTGTTTGACCAAAAGGAATCCTGGCATGTTGAAATTTAATGGAAAAAAGGTAAATTACAAAGAATTGAAATATTTTTGCTTCTCTCCAGTTGTAGTGATGCTAAAAATGCTGCCAAGCAGATACAACAGTATTTTTTGTGGAACAAGAATCAAGACAGTTATGAGTTTACATTTAAAAAAATAGTTATAATATAGGTTTGATGCAATACCAGATATATATGCTCAATCAATAAAAATAGATACTAATGAATTTTCAAAGCTCTTTGCACATGATGCCTAAGTCTGGCACTACTATGAAATATTCATCTAGAAATCAAATGAGAACTGACAAGGACAAGGAAGAGTAATAGTTTCAGAGCTCAGGTTTGCTTTCTTCCTCAAAGTGGATCTGACATGGCAGGAAAATTTGACACAAGTGCCAGGTATACATATGCTGATCAGCATGAATGATGGAAAATTGGAGGGACTCTGGGAAACTGTTCTAATTCATTTTGTGTGTTTTCCTCATTACTTGCATTTTTTTTGTCGAAAACTGGGATAAGAATGCATCCCATCTTGCCACCCCACTGCTCCACCCCACCGCCACCCATCAGAGCATCTTTCTGCTTCCCTCTTAATTCCATCAGCTTTTATGTGATTTCTGGTTATGGTTATGAATGGAACAGTAATGAGTAATGAGTAGGCAATTCCATGGCTTTTAGTTCATATCAAGTTCTCCATTGCTGTCAATGTCTATCATGCCATGGTGACATCATGCACCTACTCTCAATCTCTCCAAATGCTTCTGGCCAAATCACCCAACAGTTGATTCCTCAACACCACTGTGATATAATCTAGGGTCTCCTCTCTTCTTCAGCTTCAAGCTTCTCAGTTCTCCAGTGCTGTCAATTGGTAAGGATGCATCAGTCTTTGCACTACAGGAAGGGACTTCATTCAACTCAAGAATCATGTCAGGAATTTGAAACACTGGCAATTAAGTGAGGAACTGGCGGAAATGATGTGGATGGACTCGCACCAAGGCAGAGATGGAATTGTATACCTTCCCTATCATCATGATTGACCATGAACTATTATCTATGTCAGGATAGAAACAACCTAAATTGGGCAAAAACTAGAAGAATTATCAATTAGAAATTCCTTAAACTGCTTCTCACACTAATCCATTTCATTATCACTGATGCCCATTGAAAGCTATAATGATTTCCATCATCTCCAACAGTGAAGAAACCTCAGTTATATTACATAGACCATGAAGGTGTTTCAAGTGCTAACTTGATGCCTGCAAAAAAAATTAAGTTGCATGTTTTTTTTACTTGCTTTCCTAATACACTTTCTGTTTGATGTTCTTGCCCTCACCCATCCTGTCTTCAACTGATTCCTTTAACAAACTGATGCATTTCTACTAGGTGTCGCTGATCCTTTAATTACTTCTTTCTTTTTCTAGCTTCAGCTCTTCCTAATTTATTTTCTTTTTGGCTCACATTCAGATCATCATCTTCATGGTCTTTTGGTCATTACATGTGGCTTCATCACATATTGTTGCAATTTCATTAAGCCACTCAATAAGTGCCAAAAATATTTCAGTCATGCTGTGATTGCTCAGTTGAACCATTCACAAAAAATTGATGGCATCACATAGTGCTCAGAAACAAGGCAACATATTTATGCCTGCTTCAAGTAAACCATCCAGAAGCAAGAATATACATGATTTTTTTGTCATAGTGACATTTTATTATGAAACTGGGTACATCTTCAATAACAAGATGAAAACAAGTGAGAAACCCCATATCTAGAAGAGTAATTATGGGGAATGTTTAAGTCTCCTGATTGACGATGTAAATGTTCACAATAATTTACATTCATTACACCAACACAAGAACAACCAGGATCCTAGTGCAACATGAAACCATCAGAATGAAAGGATGCATCAACTGGAGTGCTTCTCGACGCACTTGGCCGCATCTCGGAGCTTGGCCACCAAGTCGGCCAGGTTCTCCTTCTTGCAGAAGAACTTCAGGTCTTTCGGGAATGCCTCCGTCTGGGAGAGGGTTTTAAGCGAGATGAGCCACTGAGGTTCGTTCACCTTGCTCTGCCCAGAATTCTGATACAAAATGGCACAGGTTGCATGTGAAGCTGATTTCAATGAGTCAATTTGTTAGGATAAATTTGCAAAAAAAACATTAGAATTACCTCGAGACAAACATCCATCTTCCAGGAAGCGTCGACGACGGAAGGCGGCTCATTCCCGAGACTGGAGAGGACCTGAATCACAGACCCCTTGGCCTCATTGTAAAACTTGGCCCAAGCCTCGATGTTCCTAGGAGTCCATCCCTGCTCGTTCAGGAAACGCGACACTTCCTGGGTGCTAAGCTGGTGCTTGCATGACTCCAAGAGCAGGACAACCAGAGCCGACCTCGCCCCTTCCTCTGACACAGACCCTGCAGCCAAGCCCTATCAACACCATGGCTTCTTAACACTAGGCCTAAAATATTTATGAAACTCACTGGATTTCCCGGTCGAATCTACATGCTTCAGAACCTCTTCCTGCAACCCTTGGGCCACAGATGAAATTTCCTCAGGCGATGCTTTCGTGCCTATGTCTCTCAACACACAAAGAACTCGCTCTGCCAGTTCCATGTCGACGAGTAAGCCAAACCTTCGAGTAGCTGCAAAACCTGACGCGAATCCAGCCTCCAACGGCCTAGGCCTAACACCAACGTAGGGATGCCAAGTCAAACGTCAGTCAGAAGCTGCTTTATAACAGACAAAGCAGCCTGAAACAACTATTTAGTATGCCACGTGCGACTGCAAGCAGCCATGACAGATTCCCATCGAGCTCCCCTTGTTACTATGCCTGCTAACTTCCGCCGTGCGAAAACCCGCGTTCCACGTCAAAAAACGGGAAGGAGGGCAACTTGGAATTCCCCCATATTAAGGCTGAACGAAAAGGAAATATGAGACTCGAGTTCCCCCAAACATGGCTCGCATCAAGCCGTCAATAGCCCACGCATTGATGTTCTTTGCTTTCACTTCCTCCAAACACATGGAATGAAGGACGCAGGAATGTGAGAATGCCCCAATTAATGCCACTGAACGAGGCGATCCTCGACAGGAAACAAGGAGGGAGAGCGAGGGATGACAGTCGAGAAAGTCTGGCGACGGAATGCGAAGAATGGAGGAGACACAACGGACCCCCCACGCAGTGAGTCCAGTATCTGCCGCTAGATGTCACCATGGGCTGTCCGCGCCAAGACCCTGCATCTTCAGTGAAAGTAATTGCTTTTGTTTCTCGGCCTGACTTCATTTTGTTGATTCACTGCGTTCACCGTGAATGTTTGCACTAGAATCTGCATTTTAATTTGAATTTTTTTTCACCATAGGGACTTAAAATCGCCGAAAATAACAGCATCATTGCAATGAGGAAAGAGTGCATCCAAGTCAGGTTCTTCATGGAAACCGTCTTTCAGTACTCTGGTTTCCCTTCAAATCGAATAAATCTTTCGCCTTTTACTAAAGATTTCCGTGGAGGGGAACAGTCAATGAGTCTGTTTGAATTTGTTGCGCCCTCCTAAGGGAGGGTAAACAAACAACTAGAAAAAAAGGGGAATTCCCTTGCACCTGGCGGATCGATAAGAACAAGACAATTCCGTTCAGCTGTTCAACCACGGGAATTCTAAGCCCGTTACGTGTGTGAGCGTGTCATCGGGGTTGAAGCACCGCAGAGACATCTAGGGACACTATGGAGAAGCTCGCATTCCTTGATGGTCACCGATCTGGCTTCATCATCCTTCATATTCCTCACCTCGAGGGGAAAGGAGTCTCAACGTCCACGATGTCGGAAGTAGAGAGAAGTTAGTCCACATTTTTTCTCTCTCCCGAGAATCCGGAAAAGCTATTAATGGTTCTGAAGCTGGTTTCGGCCAAACTTAAGCCTAGCGCACGGCAGGGGCACTTAGGCCTAGTCACTCAAAAGCTTATTCTGTTGTCAAGCCCAAATCCGATTCCGTTAAGCCCCAGCAATACATGGATAAACTTTCGGTGAGGATGATATGAATACAGATGCCCTCTGTCAATGTGAGCTCAATATTCATCATAATACTGTTTTTAAAAAAATAATAGAGAAGAAATAAAGCCGTCACCCCGCGCAAAATTAAAAAACTTATGGAGTAGCCAACTATACACGCCTGAGTACCAAGACACCATGTAAACATCATGTAAACTAAACACATCTGCCCATTTCTTTATCGTTTATCTGTGTTCCTGAGAGCAAAATAGAGGAAAAGCAGTCTGATCAGAGCAACACTTCAAGCACTATTTATTCTCGAGCTTTTCATGGAGGGTAAAAGCGTTCCGCGATCAGTCAAGCTTTTACCACGTGATGATGAGTGCTCAAAAGGGCGGAATTGATGGGGTTTATTCCGGGATCGCAAGTACAAAGTTTCCATGTCGGGAGATAATGGCCCAATTTCATGACTTCTTCATTGCCCAGACGCATTATCGTAAATTCGATTCCGAAACTCCAACACGGGAGCGTGACTCCGGGAAGCGAATCCGCAGTTGCACGCGCAAGAAAGCGAATCGGGCGGCGAATCGAGAGCGCGGCGAGAGCAGGGGGAAAGCGAACGGGCCGGCGAATCGAGAGCGCGGCGAGAGCAGGGGGAAGGCGGAGCGAGCGAGCGAGGGGAAAAAGGATGCAACGTGGGGACCACGCCGCAGTCTGCATCTGCTGCTCGTCCTGAGTGCACCGCGCGCCGCCATGTGAGAAACGCATCTGAAATCCGACTTTTCCCCCTCGGAATGACATCGATCGTGTCCCACCCAGCCCCACGGTAAGCACCTCGCATTTCGCAATTCATTTTCCGTCGAATTTAAGCTTCTCCCTCGACCGCAAGAGGAAAGAGCGGCTCGAGAGGCCACTTGATCTCCGACCCCATCCGCCAGGCCGACTCACCCAGGCCGACATGAGTCGGCTCTTCTTTAACTCACCGCGAAATTCTCACGTGGAGTTCCACGAATGACCATTTTCACCCCGCCATTGCGAAACGCCAGGAATATTTCCGTATCGAAATATGGAAATTTTTGCATTTCCGAGTGGAAAAAAAATACTTTCGTCAGTTCATCAGAATTTTCTCTGCTGGTCCTTCCAATCGCGAAACACTTCCGCGAACGTTCAACGTCGAAATTTTTTTATTTATATTTTTTTTTTTACATCCGGAAAGATAAGCCGCGGTGACCGGCGAGAAATCCCCCCCAAAAAAATTTCATTCGAAATTCAAACGCAAATATCCGGCGCGGATCGAGACAAAACCCCGGCTAATCCCGAAAAGAAGCCATCCCGACCGAATGATGAACGACCGTCCACTCCGATGATGACCGGCACTGCCCACCCAGCAGGAGGCACCAGCCTAAAAAAAAAGAGAGAGAGAGAGAGAGAGAAAAAGGTTTTTGCGGAAACCCCCGCAGAGCAGGCGAACGACAAAAGAACCTTCCATCAATCACGGGAAATCTCCCGAGAAGACAAACTTCCTCCGCCCTCCATGCCTCCCGACCCGAGTCGATGGCGGGCACGAGCGATTCGAAGGCGAAACCCGGGGATGGCTCCCATCCCATATGCCTCATAACCCAGATGGCTCACAGCCCAGATGAGCCGAAGGACGCCGAGGCCTAGATTTACCCTTGTTTTGCGTTTATTTAAACTTAAAATCATTTATAATATAATAGCAACTTATAATTATAAATATATAATTTATCATTATAATAATGGAGCGCCAGCGCCGTTCTTTTTTTTCTCTTCGGAGTCGGACGGAGCAAATCGGCAGGATCGCTCCGAGGTCGACGCCACTCGGGCCGACCCGGCCCACTCTGGTCGACACGGCCTCCACGAAAAAAACAAAAGAAAGCAAGTCGACGACTCGTTGAACTTCCAGCCACAATTGCCGAACCCGAACAGAAAATTCCTTTTTTTTTTTTTTTCTTCTTCTTCGGCCCCGGAACGGAAACGAAGCCCCTTCTCGTGTCGACCGCAGCCCGAAGCGTTCACGACTCCAGTGTTGACAGTTCCTTCTTGGTTTGCTCCGCGTCCGTCCGTTTCCACGTTTTTTTTTCTTTTTATTTCTATTTGGACAAAAAAATTCCTGAATTTCGCCGTTTTTGACCGCTCACCACTTTATTTCCTATTGCTTCGTATATACCATGTAATACGTATTATTATCCATTATTATTATTTTTTATCTAATTAATAATTTGCAGTTAATTTAATACTTATAATTATAGTGTATTTTGTTATTTATATATTTCTCTTTTTATGTATTTAATTGCTTTATTTTTATTTTTAT